GTAACTAATTGTAACTGTTCACGACAGCAATTCCGCATTTTTTCAAACTTTAAGCTATCAAATTAACTCCCAAGTATTTCAACCGGCCGAGTACTAAGAGAAAAGTAGCAAATGAAGCGAGGTCTCAATTAGGGCGGTTCGTTCCACACACTACATAGGTAATGAGCGGTCAACAGAACATCGCTTGGTCCCTAACCACGAACCGCTAATTACGGTTCTATTTAGTCCTAGGTAGGTACGGACTATAGGTAGACAGAATGAAATTGATACAATATATGTTTGGTCGACTAGGGCTTACTCGCAGACCTTGTCTATCAATGAGAAAGCACGTTTCGCTTTAAAGATTCCACAGACTATAATCTGTTTCAATGCAAAACATTGATCCAAACGCTTTGTGGTGAAAAGGCCACGGAACAAAGTTTTGCATTTATAATGGAACCGTTTCCCAGATACCCGCTCTCTTACTCTAAACAACGTCGGTGAATCTGTTATGTCGTAGATAAATTTTAGAGGCAGGTAAGTATATTCGTTTTCATGGAGTCGCATTGATTTTTGCATTAGTCGACTGTCTAATCTTGGGGTTGATGCCGACTTTTCCACGAATGTAAAAGGTACAGTACTGTACTAGTCACCAGTTTAAGAATTTGTAAAGTAAAACTTGCTTCTTGCATTTTAAAGTCGATAATAGTGTACCTATTAAAGATTTTGATACTTCGTTTTTTTCGTGAATTTTTAATTTATTCTATCACTAGTAGGTAATGCTTTATTCCATCACTAGTAAAGTAGTAAGATTATATTTTTTTGATAGTTAACTAGAAGCGTAAAGCTCAAACAAAATAAAAATAAAAGACTTTTGCTTTTAAAATTCCAGGCATGTTTACCTAGGTGCCATGGCGTCTTTAGTTAAGTAACATTTTTATTAAAAACAAATATCTTCGTTCACGGGCTTATCTTCGTCGACGTTGAAGACAAGACATTCTTCACAAGCTATAGTTTGAAACAACTCCGTAAATTAAATTTTCTAAGAAATATTTATGACGTTCAATGAACAGAATACCTAACATATTTTGTTAGCAATTGCAATATAGAGAAGCGAATGGTCAGTTTGTACTGCGGCACCGCTGCTATTTAATTAATTAAGCGTGCTTCGTTCAAAGCTTTTCATTACAATGGATGGAACGAAATGCTCGAGTGCCATTACATTTGTGAAAATATTATCTGTTTTACAATTGATGCGTGCTTCAGGCAAATGGAGCACTATTACTAATGTAATTACAACATAATTTGATTATTTCATTTCATGTTTGTTCAATAATTTACAAGCTTCATTCTAGGATATTTGCTGTTTTCATTCAAGTAGGTACTTGTGTAGCATTTAACATTATTGTTTGCCGTTTTCATTCAAATAGGTTGGTAATTATTTAACTAGGAATTTTATACCAAGTGAAAAAAATATGATTGATTTGAGTATCTGGCAAAGTATGTGTATTTGCCAGGATTTTGCTCTAGAGCGGCCGAGGCCTTACATGTTATTGTATAAAGATCAGGGGTGGAATAAAACCGCAAGTGCGGCCGGTTGTATTGAGATTTTGTCTAACAAAATTACCCGGTTGAAAACCGCCGTGGTGACACGTCTACCGCGGTTGGGGCCCAACAGTTGTATTGAATCGAATGTTACGCGGGGCCTTTCGCGGTTAAAAACCACTGCGATTTCGCGCTACTGTGGCCGAGGCTTAACCTTTTATACATAATAGACACAATAGAAAACACATTGTATCTCGCGTATATCTACGCTCCCGGCATACCATGGGTTAAAACATGTTATTTGGTGAAGTTGGAACTTACGGTTTGGTACCAGTATCTTAGTGACCTGAACTCGAATGCCACGGCGTGGATGCCTGTACGTAGCTCCGGTGACGACATTGATGGGTCTGGTATCCTTGACATCAGCGACCGGGCTGGTCACACATACAGCGGCTGTTAGCACAGTCACCCTGGACACCAGGGTGCCAACGCATAGGCCTCGGTAGCGTGATGGAAAATAAACCTGTACATAGAAGTGGATTTTAATGCATAGTGTGCATGACTGCATTCTACCATCCTCTCTGGCTTTAACCCATAGGGGGAATCCCTTAACACTGGACGGCACCTAACGCCGGAAACTTGTATTATCTCAGTGTCCGGCGTTAGGTGCCGTCCGGTGTTACAGGACTTGCCCTACTTAGTATTTCTCGTAATTACAAACGGTTTTCTTAATTCGTTGGTAGGGTTTTTGCTTGCTTTGCTTTGTTTCTAATATCTATTCGTAAACAATATTTAGAAGACGCTATTATGTTCCTTCAAGTTTCTACTAACAAACATTTTAACTCTGCGAAAACTTAAAACATATTGTTATAAATATATATTACCCGCGACTCGTTAAACACGTGAACGAAGTTACGCACGGCATCTGAGATCAGATTTCTATGAAAATTTCCATTATCTTGGCGAACTATCGCAGCTATGTTTGAATTACTGATTTACAGAGGAGGATCCTCACTGAATAAGGTTGATTAGGCTAAGATCTGTACTACTCTACTCCGAGAATGTAAAAACAACTATAGAATGGATTGCAACCACTCCAATAATTCTATTAACAATGCAGAAATGTGTAAACAAGCCTGGTATTTCTTCATATTTTCTATTCAAAAGAACTTTATGAGTAGTGGTTTCATATAAAAATGAAGTATAATTATGCATATTGATATATTATTACATTTCTAATTTATTAGAATTCCCCGTATGCCGACATATGTATAGTTCATTAATCAATTGTGATTATCCATGACAGCAATATCTAATTATGAGTTATTTCTTGGTTATTTAATTATTTCTTTATCAGTGTACGTTTTCATATATTCCTTTCAACAATGGATGTATTCCTTTCAAACGGGAACGCGCACGTTATTATAATTTCTTTCAATTACTAGATTTACTTAATGCATCCAGCCAGGCGAGATGAACTTACTAAAAAGGGAAGAGATCCGTGGGCAGGCTTGAATGGTTCTCTCCCTTTACATTGTAGAAAGCAAGCACCTAAAACAACAACACAATTAAACTATGAACTTAACAATAAATTATTATAATACAATAAATTCTTTCATAACTACCTATCAAAAACAATATTTTTAATCTACTCATGTTACAGAGGATGTGAAAATTAAAATTAAAATGAAATAAAAATTGGCTAGGCTTAATTAAAATGGTGCAACGGTTGTTAAATTTGCCATCAAAATAAAAGATAATGGTGTGCGACAAATTCATCACAAACCTGCTCTGAATTTAATACGAAACATAATAATGTTGCGTTCGTTAAAATTACTTTTTATTACTTCGAAAGTGTTCAGTGAGAACTGAAAAAGTATAATATTTGTGTTGTATTTGCTCAATCATGTACTATTTTTTTCTCTCTATTAAAATACAACAAGAGTCTTTAAATCTAAGGGATTATGACTCATCGTCACCATGAGGAGGATTTACTATTTGTTAAGTAGATAAATACAAAAGTAATAGTTATTTTCATCAATTAGTTGAACGTACTACCTGCATTTTAATTTTAACATCTTGTATTAGAGTTGCGGTCGTTAAGAGAAAATAATATGTATAATGATTATAGTAAGTAATAATAGTGAAAGGAATACATCGTTTCATTTGCCCTAACATTAATTTCACATAGTCGGTTTATGTAATTATGTTTATACATAAAATTTACAAACTTATAAATCAATATCGTCATATAAAATAAAATATGAATAAGTCTTTTTCCAGTTTTTAAAATAAAACAAACCTTTTTTGTCTGGCAAAGGATTAAAAACTCATTTTAATATGAGCATCGCTCGAGGCCGGTTTATCTGAAACCAACTGAAACACAACTTTTACTGCCGTGCAGACGCATGCATATAAAATATTGTTGTTTTGTCAGTTTTTTCTTTTTAATGTGGTAGGTAGTATTTGGCGAATTTAGCTATTATGAAGTGATATGTGAAATCAATGAGTTATGCGCGAGCGATATCATTACAATATATCGATCTTAAAATAAAGTATAGTTTAGGCCATAAGCCAAAGCTGACTAAATTTGTGTATAAAGTACTTTATTCTTATTTTCTTTTTGAAACTCAAGTTATAGGTATGTACATACAATCGACGTCAGTCTGCGCTGGCCTTTACATGTGTTGAGTGCTATAGACGGGAATAAAGCATGCGTTGTATTTATGAATGGATGCAGAACGGCCACAGTTAGCTCTTTTTATAACGCTTCTTAACAATACCTCCACATTATAACATGCGCATTAACTCTCAATACATCGCAATGTATTAAGATTATGAAGAATATTACTAGCGAGAGTTTCGAGGCCTTGGACTAGTTTCTTGTACCGTGTATATAAGTACAACTAAAGGGTTAGATAACAGAATATCTACGTTAAACTTAACATCTAACTAAACACAGTGACATTATGGTGGGAAATACATTTCTGTTCGGAAACTTCAAATTGCTTTACACAAGCGACCTATAACATTTATGAACTCCACTCGCTAGCAAAACTATAGAATCTGCTCCGATTAATGTTTCGATTTGGTGATAGCGACTGCAGTTAGGCATTCAGTCAGAGCTCGGGAAGTCGATGACCATCAACACGTATCCTCGACGTAGCCGCTTATAGAATGAAACACCTGTATTCTACAATATTATTATCTAGCGGTTTGAAGTTAGACTGCCCTGCCACCTCATTCAAAACTAAACACGAAAACAAACTTCGTTTTTCGTTAAAAAAAATTGTGATCTGCATCATAAGGATAATTTTTAAGGGATAGAACGGCAAACGAGCTGACTTATCATCTGATGGTGAAGAATAGAAAATCTAATTAAAGAATTCGGTAAGCTTTGTTATACTTCTTTAAAACTACTATGTCGACAGAAATATGAAATTTTCAATTAAATAGTGTTAGAATTATAAGTGATCTTGCTAAGCCATTTTGAAAGGTAATGGAAAAAAAAAAATATTTGAAAACCGAAGCTTTTACAATTACGTTGTAATAATGTAGTAGATTTAAGTATTTGCATTTGTTTTTTCATACGAGATAATAATATTAATGCAACAGAAGCAATTCAGGGAAACAAGCGATAGTATGTTTTAATCCTCCGTCAAAGGTAAAGGATAATGAGAATTTTTCATCCGATATTGCAACAAGGCTAAGCTTTTAATATTGTTTCGACGAATTGTAGATATTTTGTAAAATTAAAATACGTATTGTTTTTTCTTTGTGTATACTCTCATGCTATTATTAATATTGAAAACAAAAATATGGTTTTCAGTAGCATTTGGCTGCTTACTTTATTTAAACTGTCAAACACCAAGCGGTCACCGGTGACCGCAACCTATTGTTCTATAATTGTGTCTACAAAACCGGTACTCAACGAGTTAAATGGGATTTATACACACTGGGTACTTTTTAGATTTATATACATAAATGTATTTATATTACTGTACAGGGTGTCACTGAAAGTTTGAATCAAATCGAATTGGAGGTCAATCCCTAATAACATTGATACCTTTGATAGCTTTTTGTTTGTTATCGCTTCTTTAAGCAGATTGAAAAATCAACGAATAAAACTTAAACTGGTCATAACTTTGAACCGTTAAGAATAAGAACCCTATTCCTAAAGCAAAATGATAGGGAATGACTTCCTCTATGATCGTGTTCCATTTGATCTAATCCCTACTTCCAAAGACACCCTGTTTAGATATTGTCACGTTGAGTAGCATTATGATTAGGTTATAAGCTCAAAGTCTAGATATTCTAGATATTCCTAGCGCACCACTGTTATGTTTTATGTATCAAATTCATCTGATGGTTTATTTAATTATATTGAAATATTATATTTGTATCAAGTTTTAAGTAAAATAGCTTGTTAATCTATACTAATATATATTGTAAAGCTGAAGAGTTTGTTTTTTTTTATTGTTTGTTTGAACGCGCTAATCTCCGAAACTACTGAGCCGATTTGAAAAATTCTTTCTATGTTAGATAGCCCATTTACCAAGGAAAGTTATAGGCTATAAAATATCACGCTACGATTAATAGGCGCCGAGCAGAGCGAGTGAAATTTTTACATAAAGTTTTATCGTAGCTGTTACATTTTTCACCGACTATAAAAATAATAAAGACAAATAAGTAAAACTAAAAAGGAAAAAAATAACTGTTATTGGTCATACGTACTTATAGCTTACACACCCATTGATAGGTTGGAACTGTTGGAAGTCGGTGCCAGAATTTTGAAACAATATTATTAATTAAAACCTTAATAGATACCTAATATTATTAAGCTGTTTACAATTTTATTATGGATTATACCAGCTGTGACCATTAACTACTTTATACTTTGTTATGGGTCCTCCTCCTTTTTTTGAAGTCGGTTAAAAAAGGAGGTGCTCAGTATAATCTATATGTATGCCTGTATTTATGTATGTGTGTACGCGACTATCTAGCTATTTCAAATTTCAGGAAAGTGTTTGTTACACTTACAGGTAGGAATAGTAGTATATTTATTAACCGAATAAAAAAAAAACACTGGACTGAAGTCGGTTGCATAAAGGTACGCAAGATATGCCGTCATACTAAAACAAAATTTTAATATCTATACCGATGTTTGGTATGTTGCATAAAATTACGAAAACGTAGAACTTTGGTTCAAAGCCTACAATAATTCCAGACGTGATAAAGATCGTGAAAAGAGGATATTCATAATAACTATCGTGAGACATACTAAATTAACTAATATCGCGAGTTACTCACGTGGATACATTGTGAAAAGCTCTACTAGTTTCGAACCACAGAGGCGTTCTTCCTCATGAACAGCGTCACGTAAGTAACCCGCGATTTTAGTTAAATAATAGGATATTCAATTCAAATTACCCGTAGTTCTATATTATGAAATAGAAGAATTGGTTTAGAAGGTAGATGTATGTGTATAACTAATAACCAACGTCAACTTCCAAGTTATCAGTTGGTAGTAGGTCCACAAAAGCAATTAAAAAAAACAAAACAAAACAAAACAAAAAGCTTTGATACGGTTTAAAAAAAATATTTTGTTTATTTACCTTCATGACTGTTGTGGTGAATGGTGGAAAATGGTGAAGCCACCATTTTCACGTGTCGTGTTGCAAAGTTTCCAAAAACAAATTCAATTATTAAACAGTTTATGTGTAGTTTATTTATCAGTCTATTACCACTACCTATTTAGTTTTGGTTAAAAAGTACTATCCAATTCGATAGAACTATAATTTCAATGAAACATGAAACTTTCAGCCGTTTGAAAAGTCGTCATATCTCGTTTAGTTGATGAAAGAGTTTATTTAACTTTTACGAGCGTTTCAATTCAATATCACGTATCCTGTCACTTTCATAATATTGCCTAGACACGGTAACCTTGACCTGATACTATACTGCAGCATCTTCTAGGAGTCTTTCGGATATCTAACTCCTTACTTACACACAACAAAGGCCTGTAATCATTAAAATTTGTTTCTTTTTTTAATCTAGTGATCGCGACTATAGTTTCGGTTCTGAAAAATAAATATACATGGTACCTACTTAATAAATGTGTATTTATATGTGTACTACAAACGGAAAAAAATACGGCAAGAAGTAAGTAAAGACGATTTTTTTAAATTGAATTGTTTACTGAATATTTTTTAAAAATATTATGTACTTATTTATTTTTTAACGCCTTTTAGCGATTTCGATATCTACTGAAGCCTAGGATATCTATCTATTCTATTCAAAGGTAATCTGCACCTCGCCGCAAAAACTCTGACGCCGTATCATATTCGAGGAAATCCGGCTATTCCCGGAAAAAATAATAAATCTTGCCTAGCCGCAGATAGAGAGATCGGGCGGACTTGAGGGGAGGGGGTGTGAATATGCGTACAGGACTGAGTGCCGAGTGTATAGGTGCTCCCGGGTGCAAGAGCCCAAGAGGCAGATCAATAGGCAGGCGTCCTGCGTGTCCCCGGTCCCGCCCGGCATCGCCGCGCCAACCGCGCCACGGCGCCGCTCCGCGCCACTCGCTGCCCGCTCGTCGCTCCAGACGCACGCTCGCGATCCGAACTCCGCGCTCCGACACTCGCGAAACCAAGTCATGGAGGTAAGCTCGAACTCTAACTTTACACCACCAACTAAAATCAGGAAAACTTTTATTCAATCTATTTTACTTGGCTGTGTGCTTGTACGCGCATATTTTTTCATCCAAATTTATAATTTTCTTTCATTTCTTATTTGGCGAAAGTCGAAAAATGTTTTCCTTAATCGGATATTTCTTTGTGCAAGTTAAAAAAATAATTCAGAAGTGCAAAGCTAATGCATCTTTAAAATTGTACACGCTTCTTGCGTGTGTTTTATTCCTTACTTTGTTTTTACATACAGTTATTGTATTTATTTGTTATTTGTTTTTATTTTAAGTGACAATTAAGTTACAATTTTATTTCAATTAAAGATTAGATGAAAATAAATTAATATCGTGCCAGAAAAAATATGGAGAAATATTTGGTTACATAATATAAATTAGTGCGCAGCAGCCCGCTACAATCAGAAAGGGACGTTGGGGGTGGGTACCTACTGTTTGTTTGTGTGCGTTGTTAACTCAGAAAAGTGGAGAGTGATATCGTATTTTCTTCGTGTCAACTGTGTCGTTTAATAAAATACTTGCAACAATATTTGGACCGGGTTGTTGAATGCCTTCATTATTTAACCGGTAGTATCACGTTAACTTAATTAACCAAATTAATAATGGTTTGGGTTAATGTGTGTTAAACAGCTGACATTTTGTTTACCTACTAAATAATTGATGCGTTTAAAAT